TGCGCGCTCTCTCTCTCTCCCCCCTTCTGCAGGGGTGGCATCCTCTGTTTCCATGGAAACCAGGCTAGGCTAAGCCTGCAGCAGGAAAGATTAAAGGCAGACTGGAGAAGGCAGAAGTGATCCAGCGGGAGAGGCAGGGCACACAGGTTCCTAATCTGTGATTAAAATTTGTCAGAGAAGCTCCCGCCCCATTATTAACTCTGAGTTTAGCTGCACTGTGTAAACCAGAGGCCTCATCGATAAATGCAAATCAATATATCTCGGAGGCAAACACTTGATCTTTATTTATATGCATATTAAATGTAGTCCTATCTCACCCAGCTGGAAGAGACCCAAATAACCCAGTCCAGGCCTGCTGCCCCATGGACCGCAAGCAAGTTTGGGCCCTGCAGCTGCTCTCATTGGCTCCGTGGTCTCCCCAACATTCTTAAATATGTTGCTAACTTTTCCATTTTAGAGCATAATTCAGATTTCTGCCTTCCCTGAGGCCTCGAGAGTAGGTGAGCCCTGGACCCCGCCACACCCACTGCACTGGATGGCAGGCTGAGGCCCGCGGTGGCCTGGACACTCCCACCTACACGGACACCGCGTCCAGGCCACAGCTCACCTCCCGATGCCCAGGAAGGAGGCGGCGCAGACCTGGAAGGCGCACCTGGAAGCCGGGTTAGTATCTGTCAGCTACAACATGTCCAAGGTGAAAATTAGATTTTTCTGCTGACTCCAATTTTGCCAGCTTTGTTCCAGCTCCTCGTGGAGAGGGAGGGAGGGAGGACAAGAGGCTCTGCAGGGACAAGAAGGAGAACGTGTCCTCAGACCCTCTCCATCCGCCACCACCCCGTCCATGCCCGGCCATGCCCAGGACCAAGAACATAGGAAAGGCCAAGGGACAGGACTCGGGACAACCAACCAGGACAGGCCAGCAGGTGCGACTTCACCGCCGAGGATTCCGACCTCAGAGGAAGGGACAGCGGAGGCCAGGTCTGCTTCCAGACCCTTCTCTGCTACTTGCGTGCTGTGTAACCATGGCCAAGACACGCAGCCCCTCTGAGCTCCCGTCCTTCACCTGTGCAAGAGCAGTACCTGAAGCACCGAGTGGCCAACAGCAACAGCGAAGCACTCAGGCCGGCATCAGACACACGGCAGGGGCTGCACACCCGGGCCTGTTTCCCGTCCACCGTGCTCTGCCCCGCCGCACGTCACCCTCCAGCCCACAGCCCCAGGTCAAACTGGCTCCTCGCTGCCACTGACCCACCCTGGGCCTCTGTCCTGCAGGAAGCCACGCTCGGCCCCTCCCGCTCTTCCTACCCAGGGTCCACAAGGCCAGCAACCTCCCTGCACGCCTCGGCTCCCGTGTTGGGGTGCCCTGTGCCTACCGTTCCATCTGGAGAGACTCTGGCCTCAGCACCATGCGCGTCCAGGCTGCACCCTGCACATCTCTGAGACGCTTTGGGGGGGCCCAAGAACTTGTAGCAAAGCGACTGTTTCCCTCTTATTTTTATGCCAGCAGCCCCAAGTTCCTTTCCTGGCATGATCGTCCCCCAAGCATAGTCCCAGCAAGATCGTGGGTCAGAAGGCCCCGAGCCCATCACCAGGTGGGCACGGGTACCAGGGCCAGGTGTCCTTTCTCCCAGGACGTGGACCTCCAAGCCTGCCAGACCCTTACAAGCTGGCTGGCACCGCCATCCTACGGGGTCCCCAGAGGGCCTTGAAGCCCTGAGCTAGCTGGACGCCATCCCCACCCCGCCTCCTCTGATCAGCTCCTTCTCTGCTGCAGGGGCAGGAGCCAGTCTGGGGGCCTGCACAGCGAGAGCCCTGGCCGATTCCGAATCCCCACATCTCAGCCATCCTCAGACACCTAGCGCCCTCGGGGTGGGGACACATGAGCACCCCTTCAGTGTAGCCAGAGAAGCTGGGCCTTCTGCCTCCAAGAAAAAGCCAGACTGCCTGGGCTTCACAACACTGCTTAATCCCTCCCCTCCTTGAGCAGCAGGAGTAGATCTGAGAAGCTGGGGGCAGGAGGAGGCTGCCTCTCATTTGAAATAAATAAATAGAGGTGTCGATGACATGTAATTGAACAGTTTACATACAAAGAGGTATTTTTGCAGATTCAAAAACACTGAGCACCTAAGTAGGATAAATGCAGTACGTGGATCTTCATTCAGTATCCAAAAAGCAAAGGCTTCTACCCCTTGACAGAGACGCACCGACAAGAGGGCCACAAAACAGCGGCACTGGGAGCTGTGGACACAGAAGAGACCACACTCTGGTCCCGGGGGTGCAGGGACAGCCTTGGCTGTGACCAGAGAAAGCACAGGAGTCGGCGGGGAGGAGAGGGAGCGGGAACGGGCGCCTGGAATCTCCGAGGGGCAGCACCCTCACGCCCGCGTCCACAGGGAAGTCGCCGCCCCAGCTCAGTGTGCCCTCAGCGGAAGTCAGACCACAGCACCCAGCACCGCCCGCTGTCACTGTTCCCGCCTCGCCTCTCACCACCCTCCCTGAAAGAGGGAACAAATGAACACCCCAGAGAGAAGCCACACCACACCCCAGGAATGCTGGCTTCGGGGCCAAGCCCCATGGACGGTCAAAGCCCGGCCTCTGGAGGGCGCCCGGGCTCCGGTTCTGGCTCTGCGCCCTCCTGCCCCCTGTCCCGGGGTTTGCAGGCCTCTCTAGGCCTCAGCCTCCCTCCACTGAGGCAGGGACGTTAACAGAGCCCACAGCAGGCAGCGAGCGGGCTCAATGTGCCAACGCCCAAGGCAATGAAGATGGCGCCTGGCGTCAGCGCCCGGGGGACAGAGCTCGCTGTCACTGCTGTTCTGCAACACGTCAGCCCCCTGCAGAAGCA